AATTGACCGACAAACATTTCGGCTTGGTTCGTATTCAGCGACACAGTGTCTGTCTGTCTGTCTGTCCGTCCGTCCGTCTGTCTGTCTGTCTGTCTGTCTGTCTACTTCACACTCTCTACACTTTGTTCTGTATCCAAATCCACTCGCTCCCTATTATTGTTATTGTTATTATTGTTGTGGCGTTGGCATTTTGCTTGTCTACAAGCCGGTGTTAAACATATACATATACATATACTACTTAAGCAACAATCAATCTGCCGTGTTCATTACTCTATAAACTTCGGAGCGCATCACTAATGACTAAAAAAGTTACGAGGTCAGACAAGATTATGATCACTTCATTAAATTAATCATTAAAACTAGTCAAGTGAATGAAATTCGATAAGTATGGAGCTACTAGATGAGCGTGAAATCTAAATTCTTTCTGATGGACTTGTAAATTATTAATCGCACAACACGCAAGGTCATATCTGGATTAGCATAGAATCAAAATGGTCAGATTGGTCACGTGAAATGCAGTATCTTTGCCGGTTATTCACCTTCTACGGAAATGGAACTTAAAGAACATAATTTAGCCGAGTGTATTCGTAATCTGTGCGGAGATTACGTGGATTTTTTGCATTGATGTTAGGAAAAACGAAAATTTAAACTTAATCGTGGTAGGGAGGGGTGTTTCAACTTAACCAAACAGGACCGAGGAGAGAAAAAAACACACAGGTGTCTTGGAATTGCGTCATGTTCTTCACTTTCACGGCGTTTTCCCTCTCTCTCTCCAGTTTAGTTCGTTAAAGTCGCCATGGCGATTTTTTATGTCGTTCCTGATCGATCAAATACATCATGGATTTGGCCGTACTACGACGCCTCAAATGAATCAGTACACGATCCACATGACGTCGACTATTGATTCGCTCTGCAGCCTCGGCGATCGTATTCATGATTCGACGCAATTGGTGCCCACGTGGCATTCCGGCCAACGATTTCGAGATCTCGTTTAGACCACGTGGAAGGTCCGCACTCTGTTTCGGATCGGAGTGTACGGTTAAATTCATTCGGAGCATGTGTCTCAACATAGATAGAGATTTGCTAGCTGTGGTGATCGCTTGACGTACACTGTGTGGAGATACAGTCAATTGAATTGTTTCATTCGAACAGGGTCCATTTGTGTCACCCGTACTGGACGATTTGATTCGATGACAATATTTGCTTGCCTTGGACAAATCCGCACAACCGTCTCGCAAGGTCGTATAGACCACTGGGTTACGGATCAGACCTTTCACTTTCGGTACCGGATTAATGGAATCCTGTGATGTGTGGGATAAGCGTGCCGAACGAGATGTGGTTAGGGTACAATTCAGTTGAACAACACGAT